CCCATTCCTTTTACCCAACTGCCCTCAACAATCAATGCAATTACTGAGCACACCCATCTTGTGAATCTACAAACCAAAAGATCATTTTAGTCATTTTACGGAATCAATACCCTAAGAATATTTTAATGTCAGCTTGTCTGCTGTCCCTGAAAGAAACCTGAATTGGGGTGTCCCGAGGTCTTTGCCCCTACATTTCTACCCTGCAGCCAATCACATGTTGCCACGTGTTATGGACACCGACACAGCCCATCCGCCGACGGAAGCTTTTCATTCTCAGCCCCCCCACTCCACATCGTCACCCTTAACGGTCCGTCGGTCCCGGAACCGCCCACTGTTCTTAGTTCTAACGACCATCAATACATGCATTGCAATCTCACACACATGTGAGTGAACCCATCTCCATACACTCACCCACATATAGCCTACGCTTCCCCTTCTCTCACAACCTTCCTAGAGGGGAGAGGAGAGAGAGAAGAGAGGACTCTTCTAGGGTTTGTGATGTTTACAGAAGGGGAGAAACAGGTGCCATGCCCACCTAGGCCCATGGTGATGGATGGGAGATGGAAGCCTAATGTGGAATTAGCACCAAATTGTCCTCGGTGTGATTCATCCAACACTAAGTTCTGCTACTATAACAATTACAGCTTAACACAGCCTCGTTACTTCTGCAAGGGCTGTAGAAGATACTGGACCAAAGGAGGATCCCTTCGTAACGTGCCCGTCGGCGGAGGTTGCCGGAAGAATCGTCGAGGGAAGTCAGTCCGGATATCCACGGACCGTGGTTTAACTGGGAATTCGGTTTACAGTGGTGGGGTGGTGTCTGTCCGTGCTCCGCCCGATGGTGGCGCCTCGGTTGCATCTGCTGAAGCAACAAGGTCTGATTCTTCTAACATCGATCTTGCAGTTCTCTATGCCAAGTTCTTAAATCAAAGGCCGGAGTCTGACCCCGGAATCCAAATGCATGAATTGACAAGGGAATTCGATTCCCCTCTTGACTTTCCGAGCGTTTCCAATAATTCAAACCATGAGACTGATCAGGTGGAGTTCTCACATCATCAACTTGGTATGGTTGGTATGGTTGGGTCTCAGTCTCAATCTGATCAGTCCTCTGAGACCCAATTGACTGATGTCCACCAGGCTTTCCTTAGTGAATTCGACATGAACAATGGCCAACAAGACAGCATTTCTCAGTTTACAAGCTTAGACTCTAATGCTTACGCTTTGCAACCGTTGCCGGCCGAGGAGTTGGCCGTTCAAGACATGTTCTGGTCGAATTCTCCGGTGGTGGATTCGACTTTTATGTGGTCTGCAACACAGTTTCAAGGGTTAGAACCCGTAAACCAAGATCAACCAACCCTTCATTCAAATCCAATAAACGGTAATTGGAACTCTTTGGATCTGCCAAATTATGAAGCTTTCTCAAGCGACCATGAACATGCAACTTACTAGTGATGGGTTTTCTTAATTTTCCTTTGTATCTTTTCATCAGTTTGTCATTATCTTTTCTTTTTATTTTCTAGCCACTAAGTGACTTATATATATAACCATACATAAACATATTGTAGATGAATAGATGAATCAAAAGAATTAATTTAGAAAAAAGCTGTGTGAAGCTTTACATGAAACTTCAATAATTCCTCTTCCTGTTTCACTGTATAACACCAATTCAATTAGGTCTTCTTCCTCATCCATGGCTAAGCTGGTTCAACCTTTTTTTTTGTTAATTTAATGGGATTTTCGTCATTTCATTAATTTGCTTGGAAAACAATGTCCAGAAGTTCAGTTTTCATCATGGGTCTTTAATTTCCTAACTAAAACAAATTTTAATGGGTTTGCCTTCTGCAATTAGAGACTTCATATGGTGTGATGCTGATGCGCAGTGATATATGACTTCAAGCTAGGTTTGTAGATGGAAAATACTATCCACCATTGTTCGTCTAAACAGCTAAACGCCTAGCCGGTGATATCATCGACTCTTTAAGAATAGTTGATACTTGATAAGCACTTTTAAGAGTCTGGTCGGGCCGATATGGTTGGACCAGAAAACCATCTACCACCTACCTTATCACCCTTTTGGATCAGGAAACCGAGAGATGAGATTCAAAAATCTTGGGAACCCGGTAAACCATGAGTTGACTCATTCTCTTCTAGGCTGGTTAGACCGTTAACCCTGGACAAAATTGGATAATTTTAATGTTGATCGGGTCTTCTAACATTATTAATAAAAATTAAGAGCCTGATCGAACCTGACACATAACAAATTTGAGATATATCCCATTCATTAATTAGCCGGCCGGTTCCAATAACATCGTTTCTAATTGATGTTTAGGGATGTGAAGCCGACTGCTGGTACTGAAAGTGACAAATGCAGTTTATGATCTAAATGGGTCCGCCATTAATGGAGTGTTGTTAAGCCTTATCTGTAGGACCATGGTGATTGCTGAATGGGACTGGCTAGTGGTTAAGCAATGAGCCAGATAGATTGATATAGCTTGACAGTAAAACCGGCTGGTTCATCAGCTTCTTATTATATATCCAATTTGAATCCTGTTTCTGTCAAGTCTTGGTAGAAAATTTTCCACAAATATATTGATATAGCTTTACAGTAAAACCGGCTGGTCCAAGTGATTCAACAATTCAATTTGGAGGAAAAATGTTTATGGGGACCCAAGAGAGGTCTGCAGTTGTAAGCAGGAGCATTCTCAGAAGATGTTTGTGAGCCTCATGAAGTGAAGTGATACAGTTTATTAAGTTATTATGTTGCATTCGAATTAACTTTAATTAGGTCATTTCATTGAAAATTGAAATGGGGTCATTTCAGGTTCTCAGTGGAGGAAGCCATCTCCAGTTTTAGTTGACATTCTGAAATGATGATAACTAAGCTCACATATGCTAACTGATGGAGATGATTTGTAACTAATTACTTCCGGATATTTGGAGAATAACCATCGTGTAACCTCTTCACAAACTTGATAGAAAATTAAAACACAACCATCTATTTGGATGAGAAAGGTTCACTTTCAAATTATTCTCTCTGTGTACGGCAGTTGACAACCCACCCACCTAATAAGGGCTGAAGGTTGATTATTGAGCTTTCCAAACATGGCCACGTCCTCGGCTCCTTAGGTTCTAAGCCAAGGTCTCCGTTATGTCCACCTCTTTCACATGGTCCTTGTCCTTGGCCACGAATCATCAATTAGGACCACACTATTTTATGGGAGATAGGTTTATATTATTTTCACCTCTCTCTCTCTCTCTCTCTCTCTCTTGACAACAAGGAAAAACTATACTTACAGTACTCTCATGACAGAAGATAGGACTAGGAACAAAATAACTGATCCTTCTCATGCGTCAAGCCATGAAATAAGAGAAAGGTAGACCTACCTTCTTATATTGTTGGTGATTAAAGCAGTAGATTTGATTGGAAACGAGCAGGAAGGTATCAGTCCTCCTTTTCATGTGACAGGATTAATAGTAACCGACTTGGAATTGTCTGCAGTGGTAGTCGCAACTTGGGTTGGTTGTTGGGGTTGTATGACATCATCAGTGGAAAAGTTGTGGAAAAGGGCAGCTGGCAGGAAGCTTATTAGTTGTATCAGTGACCAGAAGAGAGCTTCACCTTCCAAAAGAAGAAGAAAAGTAAGCTCTGATACCATAAGGAGGTGAGAGAGTTGGATATATGGTATTAATTACCATGAGATGAAGTCGATAAGTCGCGAAAAATTGAGGGCTTAGTAGTTTGACCAAGTGAAAGGGTTTGGTGTGTCTAGTGTTTGATAGAAAAATGAGAATTCTCTCTTATTTCCTTTCAAAACCAAACACAGCTTGAGATTGAAAGAGGCTGACACTGCTACCCCAATTCAAAAAGGAAAAGGAAAAAAAAATTTGAAAGAAGAAAGAGTAGGGAAAGGACCAACTGCAACCTATCTCTTCCAAGCTTATGCATTTAATGAATACATCAAGCCATCTAATCACGAATTGAAACAAATAGAACACATCTACCAGTCGAATTAGATGCACTTATATTTACTGTTTTTGTTTCTTGTATGACTGATTGATTATATCTGAAGTAAGGTCCTAGGTCCCATCAAGGTTTTAGGGGATGGGTTTTGGATTTATGTCTTGTCTATATATGATGGGATAAGGCCCACTTCATCCATTATGCTAATTAAACTTTGAATTAGTAGCTAATAATTAAAATCTAAGGCCCATGAAAAATGCAGCTTCCAGACTAGCTTTTGATATGAAAATGAATATCAATCAAGGGGTCCATAGTTCTATGTATGCCTAATGTAATCAAGCAGCAAGATAAAGGATCTTCTTAACAAATTAACTCCCACATTCAGGCTCATCAATAATTGATTTCAATTATCAAATAATGACTTGTAGTTAACAATATACAATGAACTTGACAAGATCCAGAGAATAACCAACTATCTTAGACATTGTACATGCTCGTGGGCCACTATCAATCTCTTGTAGATAAATTTCATACTTGTGGCATTCATATTAATTTGAGTTGTACAGTCACTCATATATGGTATACTGTACACATTAAAAGATAGACTGCAATATTCGAACTGAAATAGTCATTCTTATTCTCTCAAACCTGTTTAAGGTATCACAGAATTAAGAGACTCGTCCCTTTGCATTCACCATGTCTGACTGCTGATAACGGAGATCTCTCCAACAGCAACTAATCAACGGGCCTTGCTTCTCCTTGGATATCAATTCATGCAGCTTATCTTGGTTAAGCTTGAAGTTTTGAATTATATATGTGATGTTACTCCTATCTGATCTGATATAATCCGATTCGATTTGATTTATATATATTAAAATTTATATTATATCTATTATTGATGTTGGTTTGGATGTTATATTTTCATTAAATTGTCGCAGGTTCAACTTTTATACAAGTAATTTTCAATTCATTTCATTCATAAAAGATATATAGGGTAAATTAGAAAGACCCCCTATTCTATGGGGTCAGTTACAATTATGCCCCCCTGAACTTTCACTTTGCAGCAAAGAACCCCATCCGTTAGTGTTCCACCATTTAACTTTGACAAAGATTCTCATTCAGATATTTAAAAATTTTGAAATACCCAAATTAACCTTTTTCTTATTTATTTGAATGATTTATGATTCAATTAGTTTTTTAAATATAATATTGAAGTCCTCTTGATTGATTTAATAGATCCTTGCAAATTTTTGGCCGGGTTCAATATTTACAAGAAATGGTAGTAGGTTTCTTTCTAATAGATGTAAATTTAAGGTTTTGTTTGATTTTTCATAGTTTATTGGCGGAAGTGGATAGTTTTTATATTTTAAGATGAAGAGAGACATGCATTCATGTAAGTGAAATGAAGCAAGAATTTAAATAAACTTGTTTTTCTCTTTGAGTAAACTTATTCTTGTTATTTTAACTAAGTCTGTTTGGAGAAAATGGAGGTATTTTTGAGTCTATTAGGGTTTAAGAGAAAATAAGGAAAGTTCAAGTGGGCATTTTTTGTAATTTAATGCATTTTATCATTTGACTTAATGGATAAGGGGTATTTGTTGAAAAGTGAAAGTTCAGGGAGTAATTGCCATTGACTCCATAGTATGGGCGGGGCGGTATTTGTAATTTACTCTAAAATTTAATTTTGTCATTTTTTGTTCGTTTTATTAATAATATATAATATTTTGATAGATTTTAGTCCAATTTACTTACTCTATTTAATATCGATTATAATCAGAATTCTATTCAAATCCACTAGATATATTTGATGGATATGATCCGATTTGAATTCAAATATGAACAAGTCAAGTTTGGATATATTTATATCCGACTCAATTCGATCCATTTGCAGTCCTATCCATAGTCTGGTGATTCAAATTTGAAAACACCCTATTGTGTAATGAACTAATTGGCTCCTCATCCTTAATTTGGAATGAGCAGATGCTCCTACAACATCAGTCTTTACTTTGTGGATTAAACAAGTTAAGCTTTTATTGAATTAGTTATTTGCCTCCATACCTGAGTCTTCTTTTACTCAAGTGGTTGTCTAGCAGTGGCAATTGGGCGGGTTGGGTTGGGTTGGGTTTGAGCTTCAACCCAATCCATCTAACCCGTCAACCCATTAATGATCCGGTTATATAAAATTAAATGGGATGGGTTCAACCCAAACCCGCCTTGACCCAATCCAACCCGTCCAAACCCATTAATCTTATATTTATGTACTTAAAACAAAAAAAAAAAAACTAACTCCCACTTGACAAATAAGTTGGTCATAGCTTGATGGTAATAGTATTTGTTATTTTTACACAAGTGGCGAATCCAAAATGGGTCAAAGCAAGATGAACATATTTCGGGTTGGATCGTATTGGGTTTGGGTCAAGCCAGTCCATTTGGCTCCGCTTCAGATTCGAGTTGACCCAAATAGGCTTGATATGGATCGGGTTGGGTTCGGACTGGGTTGACCGACCCCAACAAACCGAATCGAGGTGATTGGGTCTATTCATATTTAGATCGAGTTGAACTAGTCCGGAGTCAAGTCGGGTTGATTTGGATTTATGT